GCCTTGCAGTTTTTGTTATGTGTTAAGAACAAACTAATAAACAACCAAAAAAAAACAAATCTTGATTTGCTTGTATGGTTTAATTTTTATGCGTGATGAAAGTCAAAGTTGTGAAACATTCACTCATTTTTGCTCGGTACTGTAGTCGATAGATTTATTTTTTGTTTGTATTATATTATTATTATTATATATTATTATTCCATTTATATATATATTATCATTTTTATTTGGAATAATATATATGATTGGCTAAACTATAAAATATAAATATGAACTTCGATTTAGTTGGATCACAAACTTACCAGGGACTTTAACCCATACGATGATTGTTCAATAGTCTTGAGCCAGTCTGTCAGACTCTCCATGACTAATCGCATTCTTCTCGTTTATCGAAGTCGTGGCATCTCTATGCGTAGGACATAAATAGCCGTCTCGCTTGCACTCAGCAACAGCTATAGTTGTCTCTATCTAAATGACAGCAAGTTTTTAACTGACCATTCAGCTGTCACTTCATCTCTGAAGGAATTGCAGCAAGCTTGCAAGTCATAGTAGCTAAACTGAAATTTAGACATAATATCATATACAAGTATTATAGGGACCAGCAAAAGTATTTATATACATGCATAACATATTCCTTATACATATATACATATATTCATACAATTTTCAGTAAACTGAAGTGCATAAAACTTCCTAAATTTCTATTAATACATTTGTCTTTCTTTATTTTCTTCTTTGCAGTACATTTTACATAAACTGTGATTATGAGTTCCACAAAATCTCAAGTAGCCCTCGCTACAAATATTCCAACCAACTTAGCCTCCGCCTCAGCCACCTCCACTGCGGCCACCGCCGTTGTTGTTGTCGCCGCCGTTGCCAGCAACAATTCTGCGACGTCACCAGCAACTGCAACTGTAACTGCACCTGCAGCAGCAGCAACATCAACAGCAGCAGCAGCAGCAGCGCCATCAACTACAAGTGCAACAGCAGCCGTGACGTCATCAACAGCAGCAGCAACAACAGCAGCAAGCAACAGCAACAACAACAATACCAACTGCAACGAGGAGCAATCGAACGCTTCCAATTTGGGGCGTCAAAACAGTTTTGGCAATAGACGCGTAAGTAAATAAAATCATAAATATATATGTATGTATATATATCGAACTATATAGTTATTAAGAGATATACACATATACATATACATATATAATGCACATGTAAATGGGTCAGTAACAGTTACACAGCGCGTGTATCCATTTACCGCTGAGAGTCTGCCGCTATCTCTCTCTCTCTCTCTCTCTCTCTCTCTCTTTCGCTGTCTCGCTCTCTTGTCTCTCTGCACGTGCAGCAGCCATGAACTGGAATTGGTCCGTGCAAAAAAGATACACGCCCAAAAACTGCACAGAACTGGGTCAGGTCAGGTTAACAGAATGCATGCATTGAGGGGTAGATGGGTCGTTGGGTCGTCGGGTGTTCTCCTGCAGTTTTCTAGGAATTGGTCTATTGGAAAACTCGATTTGCTGGAAATTCCCAAATTGCAGTGAATGTCAAAGTATTGCATTGAAAATGGCTTTTTGATTGCTGCCCTGGACAAGTGATTTTCCAATTACAAACGGAGTTCAAGGTTTATGTGGGCTGCCGCACGCCTGAGCACTGGACAAATGGGCCAAGTGTGTGTGTGTGTGTGTGTGTGTGCGTGTGTGTGGCATATGTTGGGGCCACAGTTGAGTTTTCTGTTGTTTCTAATTTGTATTTAACCATCCAGGCGACCAATAAAAACAATGCCAAAGCATTTTTGGTTCAGCAGCTGCTACTGCTGCTGCTGCTGCTTGAACTCTGCCTGCCAAGGTCGATTTATTGATTTTTCCCGCCAACTGATGACGTTCGCGGAAGTTGGCCAGCACGAAGTTCGAAGTCGTCTGCACTTTGATTATTCAAATCTGGCCAATTTGAATTGTAAGCGAGCAAGAAAATCGCAGTTAAACTGCTAGCAAAAACAATTTTCTGACCTTGATTTTCAGTTATTGGTATTGGTATTGGTAGCTCGATGTGTGTTTAGTAGAGTCTACCTACTTGGGTTAAGGTGTTATTGTAGGGGCAGGACAGCGTGACTGTTAATGGAGTGCTTCGTACGCCATGTCTATACTATCTTTCCAGACATATTGAAGAAGTAAGATTGGGAATTATATCTAATTTTGACAGTTCGTAGAAACAATTAGCTTAGCTATAGTCAATATTTTCTTTACTTTGCTTCCGCGAAATTCGATTAGGCACATTATTTTGATAGCATAGCTCTTGACCCCTGAGTCTGCATTCAGATTTTATAACAAATAAATATGCTCTACATATAAAAACTTCTTATTAATCTGATACCAAATCCTATTAAATAGACCCTAGATGAAAAAAAATTTAGTTTCTATTATGAATATTACAAACAAACAAGATTTTCATTGAGAGAACTTCAAGACAAATATAGTATTTTGAATAGGCATATAAACGGGCAAGGCTGTATGAGAAGCCTTATTTATTATTTTAGAAATTCATCAAGAATCTATATACATACATTATATTGTCTCGAAATGCTTCTGCTATAACAAAATTGAAATGCCCTCAACTGTAGCTTTTCAATGCTCGAAAGATTACTTGTACTTGTGACCGATGACTTGTTTGAAGCCAAATGCAATAACAAAAGAATTTATATTTAGAAATCAAAAAGCATACATAATAGACAAGCATATATATAATTCAAATATATAGTATAGTATATAGTTTTATAATTAAATTTCTGCTAATTAATATAAGAACCAAATGCTGTCAACTGTAAAATTTATAAGCGATTGCCAACTACATGAATTAAAGTATATAGCAGATGTATTTGATTGATATACATATATATGTATATACTTTGATTTAATCACTGCTAAATTGTATGCTCAAAGAGGGAGGGGGTACGATGGGTCTATATATTGGCCCTCGGAGTGTGTGCTCATCGCTTTGACTTTAACATTGGCAGTTGGCTTTATTGCTTTTGCTTTCGCATTTGGTTTTGGCTTTGGTTTTACTGCTTTGTGCGACGTCACTGGATTGGGCTCGGTGGATTGAGAGCTCAAGTAGCAGCTGTCTTCCAAGTTAACCAAAAATTGTCTGATTAATGATGTGCGATAGGCTGGAGTTGAGTGTGAATATAAAAAGGAAGGCAGGGAAAATGGAAAAACCAAACGCATTACCTAGTTAAGTGAATAAGTGACTAAACGATTGGCCGACTGACCAACTGACTTATTAACGGACTGAACTAATGACTGATTGACTGACTGACTGACTGGCTTATTGACTAACTGATATGGCTGCGTTGTCCTTCGGCGTTTGTTTAAATGTCAAATGGCAGCCCAGGCAGGCTATGAAGCGATTTATGTGGCTGGCACGGCAACAGTCGCAAGGCTAGCTATGTGACTGTGTCGGAGTGTGGGCAGTGAACGACTAAGAAATGCCCTGGAGCTGTATAGACTATGAAAGAATTTGAGCAAATGTGAAGAGAGTCTAAGAAAAAATTTGTATAAAGTAATCTTAATATTTGTTTCATTGTAGAGTTGTTAGATTTTGTCTACAGTTTTTTTTTTTTTAATGAACGGAGCTTTATATGAAAAATATCTTCGGAAAAATAACTAAAGAAATATCTGAGTGAATATTAAAATATATTGATATTAATAATAGTAAAATATATATAAATAAATATAAATATTAAACAAAAAATTAGAATAATACTCAAATAATATTCAGACTGTATAAAATTTAGAATTGTCATCCATATACCAGTTCACTTCCACAGTTAGCTTTACATATAATAACCTAGCTAAGCTTGAAGTCAAGTTTATTAAAACTGTTGCTTGCTCATGCACAGAAAGTTTTTACAGGGTATCCTAAGACTATAGCAAATCAGGCATTGATTTTCTGTTGCCCCCCCCACAACAGAATCGCGCCCGTGCCGTTGCCTTCCTTGAGCACATGTGTGGGGTTCGTTAACGTCGCCTGGGCGCTGGCATTTGTTTAACATTTTAATGAGCCAACAATTGCATCATGTCGAGCAACGTCATCGCAACGTAGAGCTAGACTGGCTTCAGTGGGCTGTGCTCTGCTGTCCTTTCCTTTCCATTCCTTGCCTTTCTTTTCGGTCTGTCAACTTTGGCATTCAATTGGTGGCTAATTTGAAACTAATTGCTTTCACTCTCTCCTCATGTTTCTCGACTCCAATGAACCGCACACAGGGCAACATGAAGGGCAAACATCTTACACGCAGCCATGCCATGCGCGAGTCGACGTCGCCGCCGCGCACGCCAACGCCGCGAGGCGCCGCCGAGCAGCAGCAGCAACACCCCAGCGATGCCCATGAGCACAACAACAGCAACAACAGTAACAATGCCATATTAAGCAACAACAACAACAACAATAGCAATATTAACACCAATAGCAAAGCACAATCAACTGGACGCGGCAATTCGCCGCTGATGGAAACGCCCGCTGTGATTGTTACTAGTCAGCAGCAGCAACACTTGCAACAGCAACAGCAACAGCAGCAGCAGCAGCCGCTGAATGTGCCGCTGCGTGATGAGTCCGAGTTTCCCAAGTTGTCGCCGCCCAAGAAATCTGGCGCTGGCCATCACAATCGCACCAACAGCAATGGTAGTTCGGGCATTGAGTACAACAACAACAACAACAACAGCAGCAACAATAACAACAACAACAACAGCAGCAGCAACAACAGTGGCAAAAAGTATGTGGTGGACTTGAAATCCAATGGACTGGAAAAGCATCACCACAACAGCAACAGCAACAACAACAACAACAGCAACAGCAGCAGCAACAACAATGGCAACAGCCAGAATTCCTCCACGCTGCTGTACAACTCAGGCATGAATTATAAGGCTGCCGAGCGTCATGAGCGCCACGAACGCCACGAAATGTCCAGCCAGAATAGCAATCTCAGCAACAGCAACCACGAGGAGGAGCAATATCATTATGAGCGTGGCACGGGCGGCGGTGGCGGCGGCGGCGGCAAGAAGCATCGCGCCAACAACACCAATGCAAAGGGCTCCAAGCCACGCTTGAAGAACCTAACGGGCAGCTCGTCCAACAGCATTGATGGCGGTGGTGCTGGTGGTGGTGGCGGTGGCGGCGGCGGCGGTGGCGGTGGCAATGGCAACTGTGGTGGCAATGGCCAAACGCTGGGCTGCAACTCCAACAATTCGAGCAACAACACATCTGGCTTTATATCGCGCGGTAATTATCAACAACCAGATTATGTGGATGCTGGCCATCCATTGTGCATAGCTCAATTCATTGATTCTAGTCTTTCATCAATCAGAGAACTCAAGCGAACAATATACGGATTTTGGTGGCACCGATCTGTTGACCTTCTTCCGGGACACGCTCAACAAGAATCCAAAGGATCGCAACTATCTGCTGAAGATTGAGAAGGATTTGATAGACTTTGTGCAGGAAAAGGGGTGAGCATAAGTCGAAATTATCAAAGTATATCCACTTATGTATCTCTTCATTATAGTCGGGGCTGTGAGTATCGCTTTCCGTCGTCGTCTTCGTATAATCGCATGCTAATCCATCGCACGGCTGCCTTCTTTGGCATGGATCACAATGTGGACTCCGAGACGCAACAGTGTGTGATCGTGGCCGTGACCAAGGGCACACGCATACCAGAGGTAAGCTCTATATGCTCTTTGATATCATCATGTTGCTATATGTATATTGACTCCCATGCTTGCCCACAGATTCGCTTCAAGTCTCTGGTGCGTGGCGATCATCGTGAGGATGGGCGCAAGTCAATTCTAAAGCGTGATACGCACAGCTTCGATGAGGTGCGCCAGTCGCCGTATCTCTGTCCGGAACGTCTGATGCTCGATCGCAAGGCCAAGAGCTTTGAGGAGCGCGAGGAGAACTATGATCGTGCACGCAGTCGCATCTTTAATCGCACATCGCAGCAGGATGGCTACGAGGAGGATTGCTATGGTCCCAATGGCCCTGGCGGCGGCAACGGTGGCTGGCACAATGCAGTCGAGCAGCAGCAACAGCAGCAGCAGCAACAACAACAACAACAGCAGCAGCAGCCGCCACGACCCAAACGTCCGAATGGCAAAATGCTGCAAATGCAGAATGTAAGTTGACTGACTTTGCTGACATATAACAAGCTAGCTAAACTAATTGCTGTTGTCCTTGTTTAGTCAACGGAGTCACGTGATGGTGGCGGCATGCGTTCCGGTGGTGCTGTGCCCAAGTCCCACAACTTTGGCAACTACGGCGGACCGCCGAGCGCTGGCGGACCCGGTGGCGGTTCGCTGCCACGCGGCGATTCAACCAATTCGAGCAAGAGCGGACGCGGCAGCAACTTTGCCAAGCAGGACTCGACTGGCAGCACCAGCACACCCTGGCGCCTGTCGCCCTCGAGCAGCGGGTGAGTAGTCCGCCAAGTACTTTGCATTAGATTTGATCTTAGATGCAACCCAGCCATACCCTATACGCTCGCTCTCTCTTTCTATCTATGAATATATTTATATATATATTTATTTAACTTTAACAAACAAAACTTTTTGAAGAAAAACTGTTGTTAAAATTGCCAAAAACATTTTTGTATGCCACCCAAAAAAAAAAAAAAAAATCCTCCATTTACAAAAAAAAAAATAAAAAAAAATATCCAGCTACAAGACACGCACCCAATCCGTGCGCTCCGATTCCGTAACGCCCTCGCCCACCGGCTACGGCAGCGATAGACAGACGCCGGAGTACAGCCAGCCGACGGCGCAGGTCAATTCCAATCGGGGCATGGCCTCGTTTCTGCAGCATGCAGCGACGCCACCACCACCACAACAACAACAACAACAACAACAATCATCATCATCATCAACAGCAACAACAGCAATTGCAACGGCAACGGCAACAACAACAGCAGCACCAGAGTCGTCGGCAACAGCATCGGGACTCGTCTGGGCCGTCACAGACATCTCGAGTGTGCCAATTGGCAGCGTCCTCATTGATCCGCAAACCCTCCAACCAATTCTCAATGCAGACGGGTAATTTACAAAAACCGAAAACACACAAAACCAAAAAACTAAATGCAAAACAACATAAGAATAATTATGCAGCCAATTGTTATAAACGCAATGCTTTATTTTCCTTTAATATTCTTTACTAATTGTTCATTAATTGTATAAAAACAAATTTCTAAGTGCTTCGATATGAAATCATTTAAGAAACTTTCAATTAATTTATGATCAAAGGCAATGTTATCTATATATATATTATATTGAATCACTTTGTTGTCCTGCTTTTGTCAGATGAGGTTTTGTCTTAAATGAAAATTTATTGTTAAAATGTTAAGCATATTTTTGTTGAAACTTTTATTCTTACAGTTTATTTCAGTCTTCATAAATGTCTTCTGTCTCGCTTGCTTAGTTAGGGCATTTTGCAGTTCGGCATGCCGAAGCCTCACTTTTCCTACTTTTTACCTAAAATAATGCCCAATGTGTTAGCTAGGCCAAGTCGAACTTGACTGAATTCAAATTCTTGCTGATTATTTTAATATTTAAAAGATTTTTTTTTTTTAATTTTATTTTTATTTTTTGCATACCTGTTAAATATTTAATATATACTTACATTATATTAATCGCATTTCGGTGCGCTACTTTCAACTTGTTGATGTTGTTTTTGTAAATTATCTGCCTTAAAATCAAAATCAGAATCAAATCACAGGCTCGCTCTCGCTCAAATTTAATTTGACTGCGAGTCGGCTCAATCACTCAGCTCAGCTCGCTCTCACCATATCACCTGTACAGCGCCCACACACACACGCCCACACACGCCCACACTCAGCTGCTCTCTCATCTTTACATATATATATATATATACATATATACAGCTTGCTGCCGTTGTCTCTTGTCAGGCGAAGTTAACAAGCAGTTAAACTGACTGTCAAATTTGCCGTCTGCCAGTATTGTCGTCTAATTGTTGTTCGTTCTAATTGCATTGCATCATTCTCTCTCTCTCTCTCACAAACACACACTCTCTCTCTCTCTCTCTCTCTCTCTGTCTCGCATTTGTTGTTGTTGTTTTTCCATTCATTTATACGCCATCAATGTTATATATAAATCAATCAAAAGAGAATGTCTGTCGCTGCCGTCGCCCTCACTGCGCACTCTATTCGCAAAACTGTGGCAACCCTGACAACTACCGTAATTTTCCTTTTAATATACTCTAACAGACACGCGCGACAACCAAATACTTGTGTTTATTTATTTATTTTATTTATTTTTTTTTTTGCATGCAATGAGCGAGCATCCAAAAACACATTTCGAGTCGCTGCATTGTAAATATTTGTGCACTAATTGTTGTCCTTTGTCTGCTTGCAGCTCCATTTACCACTATGACCCGTCCAACTTGCCGCCCAACCAGGCGCTGCAGCATGGAGGCAACAGTGGCGGCCAGAACTATCAGTCGAGCGGCAATTCTGGCGGCAACTATGCCTCCTATCGCAAGTCTTCGCCACATCAGCCGCAACAGCAACAACAGCAGCAGCAGCAGCAACAGCAGCAGCAGCAGCAGCAGCAACAGCAGCAGCAGCAGCAGCTGCAGCAACAACAGCAGCAGCAACAACAGCAGCCGATATATACCGCTGAGCTATCGTGCAGCTCCACGGAAAGCTATGCCGAGGAGGTGCAATCACCGGGCATGGACTGCTCCGATAGCTACGAGAGCTATCAGAATGAGCCGCAGCAGATGCAGTCTCTCTGCGAGTCGGGCAGCGGCAAGGGCGACGAGTGTGATAGTCTGTCCAGTGCCACGGCCTGCCTGAGCATCACGACCTCCACGTCCACCAAGAACTATGACCGCATCGAGGTGCAAAAGTATAAGAATCAGGCAACCAGTCCCAACATACCAGCCTGCTGTGCCGCTGAAAAGGAGCTCGAGCAGCAGCAGCAGCAACAGCAACAGCAGCAGCAGCAGCAGCAACAACAGCTGCCGCAACAACAGCAGCAGCAGCAACCATTGCAGTTGCAGGACCAGGAAACGGAAACAGCTAGTGTGCCATCGCCGCAGGAGTTGCCAGCTAGCCAAACGCCGCTGCCAGTGGCCGCAGTTCCATTGAACTGCGATGCCCAATCGCTGTCGCCCAGCACCACGCCCTACAGCCAGTGCGAGATGAAGCCAGCCAGCCAGAGCCAAGCTCAGGCCGTTGCCGAGGAGCCCAAGACGACCAGCTGGACGTACACGCAAAGCTATCAGGCAGCCGATGGCTCCACCGTCTTTCATACCACAACCACGCCCAATGGCGCGGCGCCCTATTGCGCCACCACATATCAGCAAGGGGTGAGTAGACTCTAGTAGTAGTAATAGTCAAGACAACTAACTGACTAATCTGTTTCGGTTATTTTTGCAGCCCGATGGCAGCATCTATGCTGTGCCCCAGGGCATGGTGTATGCGGCGTATCCACAGCCAACGGTCAGTGGCGCTGCCTCGCAGCCGCTCTTCCAGCTGACGGGCAGCAGTCAGCCCACGCAGGCGATATTCGCCTCACAGGAGGCTGGCGAGCTGCCCGGCGGCACCTACATGATACCTGTCTTCGATCCGGCACAGCAGCAGCGCGACGGTATAATACCCGCCCAGGCCATATACCAGACGCCGGCTGGTCCAGCTACGGCCGTGATGCCAATGGCCACCGCCACCTATCCGGCAGCCCAGTTTGCTGCCGCCGCTCCCAATGGTGCGCCCATCTATCAGGGGCCGTTGATCTACTCCAGCGATCCGGCTGGTGCGCCGCTGCAGCAGCTGCCCATGGCCACGTATCCCATTGGCTATCCGTATCATTATTATCATCCCATACCTTACTACGCTCTACCCCAGCAGGCAGTCACTGCCACGCCCATGGTGGCAACTGCTGCGGCTGGCCAGGCCCCGGCCGCCGGGCAGCCGACGGTGCAGGCCCAAGCGCAAGCGCAGGCCCAGGCCCAGGCTGCAGCTCAGCTGAATCTCGCAACTGCCACAGCGGCTGGTCCGCCCACGGTAGCTGGCGGCCAGCAGTCCACCAATGGCCACCTCATCACCACTGGCGGCAACGGCGGCAACAACAGCGGCGGCTATATGGGCGGTGGGCGTGTGAAGCGAACCCCTGGCGGCGGCTCGATACACTACAATGCCAGCTATCCGACAGCAGCGACGGCAGCTGGCCATGCCACTGCGGCACATCATCCGGGCGCCGGCTCCGCGCAGCTGATCGCCACGACGCCCGGCGCCAGCACAACGACATATCATGCGCTGCCCACGCTGACGCTGGCGCATGGCGGCGCGGGAGCGAACACAGATCTCAATGCTGCTGCGGCTGCTGCGGCCGCTGCCGGTGCGCATGTGTATGCGGTGCCAGCGCAGCATGCCACGGCGCTGATACCAACCAACATATTCCCCTATGCGGCCGGCCAGGCGGGCGCCCAGCCGGCGGGACCGCATAATGCGGTGCTCCAGCAGCAGCAGCAACAGCAGCAGCAGCCACCACCACCGCCGCCGCCGTCAGCGGCTCAGCACACGGCACCACATCACGCTCTCATCACAGCCGCACCGTTCTACCCGGCAGCCAGCGGCGCCATGGATGTGGCCGCCTCGCAGTCGGCGCCGAGCACGCCAGCGGCGCCGGGTCGCCAGGCACCGCTGTTCAGCACACCACCCGCACCGAATGTCGCTGGCGGCGCCAACAGCACGGGCGGTGCCATCTCGGGCGCTGGTGGCTCGGGCTACCACAGCAACAGCACCACGCCCCACTACTACCACAGCCAGAGCAGCAACGACGGCGGCTACGGCACGCCCTACGAGAAGCGCAACAACAACGCAAGTGGACTGGGCTCGAATGCGCCCAGCATCGGCCGCAAATCCTACCATCCGGGTGGCTACAATCCGCGGCACTCGTTGCCGCTGGGCGGCATGCCAACGGGCGCCAAGACGCCGCTGCTCAACTCGAACAACGAGCCGACGCCGCGCGCCTCGCCGAGCAGCGTTAGCCTGGGTGGACCGTCGACATCGTCGAGCTATCATCATGCCACGCATCGCGGACCGCCGCATGGGCTGGGCAAGCGGGAGAATAAGCCCACGCAGCTGCCACTGATCAGCGGACCACCGCCCAGCTATGCGCCCACGACAAGCAGTCCAGCTGGAGGAGCCGGAGCAGGAGCCGGAGGCGGTGGCAGTGGCGGCGGCAACATTGGCTACGAGACGAAGCCACCAGTGCGTCTGAATGCAGCCGCTGCCAGCTTCCGTAGCCAGAAGACGATCAATGCGGACTTCAGGCGCAGCGTCTCGCAGCGCAACTCGCCGAGCGCCAATGGCAACAACGGCGGCGGCAGCCACGAGAGCAGCAACAACTCGCCCAACAGTATTGCAGGCGGCGGTGGCGGCAGCAGCAGCAACAACAGCAACAGTAACAACAACAGCAGCAGCGCCGCCAATACGCCGAATGCCACAAGCGCACCACCCACCACCAGCCTGGGCACCCAGTACATTGTGGTGGATCCATCGACGGGCGCCGCAATGAACGCCTCGCCGCCGTCGCTCTATCTGAGCGGCGGTGGTGGCAATGCTGGCGGCGGCAGCGGTGCCGGACCGCGTGCCTCGCACATTCCAGCCCAGCTGCACCATCCGGCCGGAGCGGCAGCTGCGGCGGCGGCTGCAGCGGCAGCCAACAGCCAGCAGGCAACAGCGGTGCTCAGCGGTGTGGCGGCCCTCGGTGGCTACAATCCGAACGGGGCGTCCAGTGTCTACATCAAGTATGGCCAGACATACTTTGCTCATGTGAGTGGACCCTAGAATACTTATACTGAATGCTTTGTACTCACCTCTCTCTTTCTCGCTCTCTCTCTCTAGCCATCGGTGGCCTTGCCCAACAGTCGACGTTCGCCCTCGAGCGATATCCGGCCGCAAATGGCGCAGGTAACCGGCATGTATCCCGCCACAATGATGATACAAGGTGAGAGGGTCTACCATCAGAGCAAGAAATCCCAATGGGGCAAGCGTAAAATGTGGGGCAAACCAGCAAGTTATATGTCAAGAAAATAAGAAGAAGAAACCATAGGGTTAAATGTAAGAATTGGCGTAAGTCGAAGTAGCATTGGCAACAAATAGATAAAAGTAAAGATTTGAAGTAAATTCTGAAAGAGTTGATATCTGTATATAGTTATGTATGTATGTATATCATCAGCTATGCAACTTGAATTAATATATTTCTCTTGACTCTCTGCAGCACCTCCACGTCATCCAAGCCGTCATCCCAATCCGAACTACAAGGGTTCGCGTCCGCGGTAAATCTAGCCGAACTGCTGAATCTGAACAACTGGCGGATAAGCGAGAGACAACAACAGACAGGAGAAGATTATGAAGAAGAAATAGAAGAACTACATAAACATAACGGCATACCTAAGATAAATATAAATAGCAACCTAATCTAGTGGAACATAATGTAGTTGACAAGAAACAAAAAACAAAACAAAAAAAGAGAAAAAAAAAACACAGAAAAAGTAAAACGAATGAAACGAAAAGTGAAAGAGTGAAGAACGATGATGAAGTAGATGGACATGATGTAACAGAGCATAGGAGCAAAGGGCAGCAGCAGAAGCAGAAACAGAGCAGACTGAAGATGGGAGGGTGCAGCAGCTAACGGGACTGCAAGCTTAATGCAACAAAGTGTTGAAACCAACTTCCGCAGGCAAAAAAAAAAGTAAATTAAATTAAATTAAAATGCAAACTAGCTCTAGTTAATGAATTATGCTTTAGCTACAACAACATCAGCAACATCAACAACAACATCAACAAGAAAAGCTGTATATTTTGTGCCATTAAAAATAGTCTTAAAAAACCAGTAAACATATATATATATATATATATATAGGTATATATATATGTATATAAGTCGAGTACCGAAGAAGCAATAAGTGAACACATCGACGGCTACACTAGAACGAAACGATCCTGACTAAGAACAACCAACTAGACTTAACTAGAGAATACGCTATTCTATGATTGCTATTGCCTAAAGACTGACAGCTTTTGGTCCGATCGATCGCTTTACTATATAGATTTATATATATATATATATACATGTGTATATTTATATACCTCAAAATTCTTTGTCCTCTTGCTTTGGTGTGTTTAATTGAATGCGTTTTAATTACATTAGAAATCTCAACCAAAGGTAAAGCAATGAAAGAAGAAGAAAAATAAAAACTTCAACTGGACATGACACCGACTACATGGACACACTATAAACCCCGAACTGACGACTGCTGTCACTTGAATCTTTATAAACATATTCTGTTTGGTTTTTCTTTCTGTTGCTGTGGGCGTGGCTTGTACTATATAGATATATATTTATATATATTTATATATATATATATATATATATATATATATATATATATATATA